CGGTTCCAAAAACACTGTGGCCAAAATACAGCACTGCAGGCCGCACATTTGCTTGGATATCTGATAAAAATCTTTCTGTCCTGACTTTCCGAAGAAGTGCATCTCCAGTTTTGCTTCGTGCTGACTCTCCAGGAGAGTGAGTGCATCTACTTTTGCGGTAGGTTTCTATTTCTTCATTCTTTGGACATGGCGGAGAGTGGGGGTCCCCCGGGCAGAACAGTCTTGGTCATAGGACACTCTTTTATCAGTCGATTGGATGCGTTTGTTGAACATCGCACGACCACTGCGTGTGGTAGAGCAGTAAGCCGTGATTTTTGGCTTGACAATACTGTAGTAAAATGGCTCTACCTCTCCGGTGGGAAAGTAGCGAACTTCGGACGACTTTGCGCCAACTTCCCACAGGCGGACCTAGTTTTCTTAGAACTATGGTGTAATGATCTATGTGACTCGTATAAACTCCTAACGTCTCCACTTGGTCGCATATAAGGCTCGCTCAGAGAAACTTTCCCGCATACTTTGCTAGGGACGGTTTGCACCTATCCACACACGGGAACATGTTATACTACAAAGTGTAAGGGGGGACATCACAGCAGCTTTAAAAAACATGTAAATAATGCAACCGTTGATTCAGTGGCGAGATGCCCAGATATCAACTGCATCATCAGTACAGATTGACGATTCCCCTTTAAGAAAACCCTGACGCGAACTCTCTACATTACAGAATTGTGACTCATACTTTCCAATCGTTCCCATTCTTGACTGGGTTTGCGACATGTTCGCCTAAGCGGGCTCGTTTGGCGGGTTCTTTATCGCGATAGCTCTGTTTGGTGGTGGGAAAAAATCCTGACTAACATTACGGTAGAAAGTGTACAATCGATGGAAAAGTTGTAAGATTGGCATAATATTTTTACACTGAAAATCTGTTCATAAGATGTGTGTTTCGGTTGTCATGGTAACCATCATGTCTCAACGAGCATTGTGAATCGTACACAAGTTTCTATAGCTGTTTATCAATATCTATTTGTATTGAATCCATGTCAGTATTAAAATACCTTATATTCCCGCCAAACGAACTGTGTCGGCTATTGTTTATTCCCATTCTTTATTAAGGTGTCGGCTAGAGAGGAAGGCATAAATTACTTTTCGTGAAACGAAAATACAAATTTATGCCGGATACGATTGTCGACTCCAGCCCGCTAGGATCATATTTCGCAGAAGCGCGGGGATTCCTTATTTGGAACCTGTAAGTGACGCCGAGCCCGAAGAACTGACCAATCAGAATCCGTAAAAACCATGTGCTTCATCGGGCGGGCCAGTGCTCGGTTCCAAAACACTGTGGCCAAAATACAGCACTGCAGGCCGCACATTTGCTTGGATATCTGATAAAAATCTTTCCCCTCCCACCCTACCCCAGGACCTCTCCGCCATGTTCCATACCTCTGCTATTATATTTGTATGTTCAGTGATTCAAATCACGCATTCTTACCAATCGCTTGATTATGGACAGGACAGCACGTAACCGGAACGTAATGCGCATGCGCGAACCTTGTTGGTCCCTGGGGGCCCTGGAACGCACGGACGGCGGTGCAACCGTGCAGATGTATAGGCTGATTGCAATAACACGACACCTGTTTGCATCATCAAAACTAGTCAGTCGAAAGGTCCTGTATATGTATAATCTAAATTAAGCAATTTTACTTGACAGTGATGATGACAAGATCATTACTAATCGTCTTCAAAAAGTCGGCCCCCATTGAAACGTATTTAAAAAGAAACGTCATGAGTTACTAGAGAAGCCCATATAAGGAATTGTGTGCCCATATAAGGGTAATACCATGTGTAACAGTTTCAAAATACCCGTGTCTTCAAAATATCTCCTGCAATAGGTGGGATTTTACTGCAACGCTACCCCAAAACCCTTCAGTAGCCGCAGGTCATATGCGGTCAAGGGTCATAGTGCACATAGCAGACGGCAGCTGCAGACGACACTTGAGTTTAGTTGTGATTATTGATCAATAAAAACAATTCCTCTGTACATTTGTGTCAAAATGTGTACATGGACTATTTTCTTATAAAACTACAATAAAAAGGCATGGTTTTTAGGAGCCATAAGGTGTCAGGGTATTGAAAATCCTCCCCTCTAGCGGATTGACATTGTAACTCTCCTTACTGTCATCTCCGGCGGCGGCAAATTCAGAACGGCGTGGCTATTTACACTCCCGGAGTGTATATAAAAGACAAATAGATTTTATATACACTCCGAAATACTAGCCTCCTTGGTAGGCCCAAAACCTGGGTTTTTGTGAGTGTTTGAGGATTCAGGGGCACCAAGTTTAAACCTCGGTGTTCAAGTTTATCTTAGTGGATGATGAAAATCAGAAAACAACACGGAAATCCCCACCGAAGTTCGAAAACACAGGGTTTTGACCTACGACCAGAATGTCAGCCAATCAGCACTCGACAGGGATTTCCCGCTATTTTTCGTCTCCCGCTGGCCTGGTCTCTCGCGCCAACATGGCTGCCGCGCCGTCCCTACTGAAGTTAGGGGACGAATTTCTCACTTGGGCAGAGTTTAAGGCAGCACTGGACAACTATCAAGAAACAACACACGCTGAGCTCAGTAAGATCAGTAGCAAGAAGGTGGAAACTGAGAACAGGAAATTACCTGAAGGCGTCCAAAAGTTTCCGTGTGCTCATGTTTATAAAGCGGTGAAGTTTGGATGTATTCATTACGGGAAGCCGCGCCTGTCAGGGTCGGGAATCCGGCCAAATCAGTCGTGAGTATACATCGATTTTTTTCTCATTGTAGCTCAGGAATTTCCTTTGGCTTGTTAAGTCACTCTTGAAGCCATACTAGCCACAATCCTTGGCCAGACCGAGACGAAAGATCTACTCTACTCTACTCTACTCTGTGGTGCATGTAGTGGGGAGGGGGCAAATTTATGACTATTCAGTACTGGCGGGAAATTATGTGCAGGGCTCTCCCCAAGCAAATATTATGAAACATGTTGTATGTTGTATTCATACATTACCCTGACAGGTTGACAACTAATGACGCACAATCTACGCGTACATCAACACAGATTGTTTGAAACTGACTTTACTGAATGCAAAAACTCAAGCTGACATACCAGCAATATCGGTTGTAGACCCGAACCTTCCAGTTCTTAGCCACTTACCAATACGTGTCGATGTTAATCCATGTCCAGATTAAGTTGTGCTCAAACAAGTTGCATGTCCAAGTAAGGTGACCATTTTACCATGTTTCATTTGAGTGGCATAGGATGTCAGTTAAGATATTTCACCTTTCATATTTATTTTGCAGGCAATTCTGTATGGCCTCCACAAGATCAAGGGAATCAGCATGGAGGCAGCTCAGCAACTGATGGATAAGGGACCAGAGCGATCCCCTGAAGAGACGTGGTACAGGGACTAGAAAGAGGAGGAGAAGAACCATCCACCGGACATTTTAGCTAGTTTTTTAAAAAATTTTAATTTTTTATATTCCACAATCCCAGAGCCGTGGTCTTTATTCTTTTGTCACATGTTACATGATGATATTTACAATATATACAGTATGTTTATTTCAATCTATCAGGTAAAGAAGATCCCCCCATTTTCTTTTTGCTTTTCCGTATGATATATTTTGCTCTATTTTTAAGCTGGACATAAAATCATTTAAGAAAACAGAGAATGGATCAATTATTTTGTAGAAGCTTTTTTCCTTATATAGACACCAGGTTTTAAATATTGCATACTGTGCTATACCAATCATATGATTACCTGCATTTGTTTGTTGTAAGTTCCTTGGAAGTCCATATATTAATGTTTCAATATTGATATCTTTTATGATAATTATGATGTTCAGTATTTTTTCAGTATTATGATGTTCAGTATTTTTCCAAAAATTTTTAAGTCCTTTACATTGAAAGAACATATGGTTTTCGTCCTCTATTTCCAAACAGATGTTACATAGAGGTGACTGTATTAATTTCCATTTCTCGGGTTCTAACATATTTCTGCCTATCGCTTTGTGCCAACTACAGATAACATGTTTGTAGTACAAAGGTATGTGTTCCATGTTAGGACAATCCCGTTTGTCTTTAAATTGCATATTTAGAATAAGGAAATCTTTTCCAAAACTGTTAAGAAACAGACGTGGAAGTATCTTCCAGTCCCCCTCTGAGTTATCCATTAACCGCCTGATAACACTAGCATGTAAGGCATCAATTTGCGATGGAATATGAGTCATCTTTAGACCTGTATTACAATCTTCGACCTGATGTCCAAAATTTATAAGCATTTTAGCTAGTTAGTTAGTTACAGAGGTAGCTCAGGACCTGCAGCAAGTATATGTACCGGTATGTACTTGGATACAGAGGTAGCTCAGGACCTGCAGCAAGTATATGTACCGGTATGTACTTGGATGCTCGACGTTGTAAACCTTACACACACAGACTTGTCAGCCTGCATGACCCAGGAGCAAGTAGGGGAACAATACTCTGGCATACTTGTGAGCAAAGTTATGTAGAGTGACATTAGACTGTGAACACATGTTGTATAACCAACAGTGTCTTTTGATAAAAGCTAGCATGTAGTTAGCTTTGGCTACATTGATCACAGTATGTTTGTTCCATTAGATTATATGTTTTCTTTTTGTTTTTGATAACCCCTGGCCTGAAGTATCTTGAGCAAAGTTATGTAGAGATATTTGAGCAAAGTTATGTAGAGTGACATTAGACTGTGAACACTTTAAAGAAAAGACACCAACGTAACCAAAGTACCAACAGTGCTTTTGATAAAGCTTACGCATGTACTTAGCTTTGGCTACATTGATCACAGTATGTTTGTTCCACTAGAGTCACTAAGTAAAAGGAGCTGACCTCAAACACCTGGAGTCAGTGTCTCTTTTTAGTAATAGAAAAGTTTATTGCAAATTCCTGCCAAAGGCTAATTGCAAGTGACATAAACAAAAGAACATTGAAACAGAGTAAAGAATAACTTCCAAATCTACATAATAAAATGTAATACATCTTAGGAAACTATAGCTATGTCTAACACTATGTCTGAAGGGTTTACCTTCTCTTTTGTAGACCACGGAAGACGTAATGTCGCACTTTAGTAATAGTATAGACAATTAAGCCATGCACGTGCAAGTTTAAACTGTCTCAGTGAAACTGCGAATGGCTCATTAAATCAGTTATGGTTCCTTTGATCGTCACATCCTACATGGATAACTGTGGTAATTTTAGAGCTAATACGTGCGGAAGAAGCGCCGACCTCACGGCCTGGCGTGCATCTATCAGACCAAGACCAACCCGGGGTTCGCCCCGGTCCCTTTGGTGACAAATAGATTTTATATACACACCGGGAGTGTATAAAAAAGACAAATAGATTTTATATACACACCGGGAGTGTATATAAAAGACAAATAGATTTTATATACACTCCCGGAGTGTATATAAAAGACAAATAGATTTTATATACACACCGGGAGTGTAAATAGCCACGTTCAATTCAGAAACCAGGAAGTGGGTGCACCCATGGTTCAGCCATGGAAAAGATTTGTTTCCAGCGGGGAAAAACCCGAGGAAAAGCCGGATGCACCAGCGGAACCGAGACCCTGGTACTCGTTGACTTGTTGACGGCAAGGAGGCTGGGAATGCCTCCTGGAAGTAGACTGTGTCGGCGACACTACGACCAGATCCGCCGTCCAACAACCTGTTGCTGTCCCGCACCGCCTGCCGGGAAACACTCGTCTACCTTGATACCATGTCCCTCCCGTTTTCTAGCAGTATTTAGTAGTATTCAATCACGTCCAACGGCCTCATCCAGCATCTGTACTTCTTGTCATCGTGACGTGGACAAATCACCGATGTTCAACCAACATCCACAATATACACCGCCCGTAAAGCGAACAAGGGTAAGCCATGTTTAAAGCTCACTGAACTGACGGCTAAATATATGCAATATTCCTTCTTATATGATGATAAAATGAAAAGAAATATCTTGATATCTTCCCTGTAAAATAAACGCAGAGAAACACAGGAAAACATTAAAGAATGTTTAATATTTCAGTCATGTTACATCTTCAGTCTATGTAAATCTTATGCCACAAAGTCATTTTATCTTGCAAAGGCCACAGCAAGTACATTTTATGGATGACATCCTCCAGAGACTCTAAATTTAACGGGATAGGGCGAAAAACAAGGTGGGCAAAAAAAACAAGATTCCTACATTTTCAAATTTTGAGATAATGAACCTTGTTGAACAGTAACTGAGGCGACAAGACATGATATCACAATCAGGTCTTCTGTTCCTGAATTCAACAGTATTTACTGCTCCAAATCCATGCGAATGGACTGACACGGTCATCATACTAGGAAAATCTGTATCTATACATGAATCTGTATCTGTACATGAATCTGTATTCTGATTGCAAATAAAAAGATATCGAGTGATTGCCATACTATACAATATACACATACACTGGTTCTTGTAGAAAATCAGGCGAAAATCAATGCACATGTTTGCTGTGGCCTAACAATAAAAATGATGAACTGCTACTACATTCATCAACGTTTCATGCCAGTATCAAAAAAGCTTGATATGTTAAAGCATTACTAAAAAAAGGCTGTTTAAGTAATAATACAAGCAATGTCTTGTCTCATAGATCCCAGAGCCTAACAAAGATGGACAACAAAATACTACTAGTATACCGGTAGCACGCTGTCTCTTCCAGGTAAGATGTGTACAAAATATTCTCAACAAACTGACATTCATGATGGCTTGTCCCTATTATATTGTTACAATGGGGCATAAGTTAACATCAATCAATCCACAAACAGTTTTAAAGTTTCTACTATAATTCTACAGAATTATTGGGCTGAAGTTGATATCTCCTCTTTGCAAACTTCAGGCTCCTGCTGTCCTGTCCACCTGCAACATGGAGAAGCCAAGTAAGTACAACTTCATCATGTATTAGCAACATGCTAATGCTTAGGCAATGACAAATCAATTGTTACCTTCAATGTAAAGTTAACCGTTATAATGCAGTACTGTCTTCACTATATATGTGTGAATAAAGCTTTAACTTTTTTGCAGGAAAGGACCTGCCTACACTGGTAGGAGAGTTTCAGCTGGCTCTTTATAGAGCCCAGGTTAATGACAAGGAGTTACGCCTGTATGATCCAGACCGGATGGAAGCCTTTGCAAACAAGCACGCACCTGGGCTATGGGACAATCTGCTGGACAGCATAACCAGGACAGACCAGAGACTGGACCCGGAGAACCTAGGGAAACAAAGGAAAAAAGTTGTTACGATTCTGTACGACTTGGCCTATGCCAGGTAATTATATGAATGGCAAAAAAATGTTACCAGCAGTGAATCATGCATGCATTTCTTCTTGTAGTTTTTTAAAGAATTATTCATATTTTGGATGGACCATAAAATGTTAGATATGCTTTTTCTACCTATGCCACTAACTTAAGTCACAGTGATAGTCTCCTCCTGTATTAATTCTAGGTCACAAAAGACAAATACACTCCACATTGATGTGGGGAAGGAATTGCGTCACCGCGGGCTTTCCAGTGAGGGCTTGCATGCTGGGGGACAACTGCTCTACAGTGCTTCGAAAACCACAGTTGAAACCAGCATGCAAGGCGACATGAAGACCTTATTGGAGAAGAACATGGCCACCATTTACAGTGCAATAAAGGTGATTAGCTGACTGTCTAGTACAACCTGTCAGTCATCCCTTGACTCCTGTACCTAATGTAGACCACTAATTATTGATCTGATTCTGAGTGGCTGTGTTACAAAAGTGTTGTAGTGTGGGAACCAAACATCTTAAGTACGAGTGGTGTTGTAGCACATGTACAAGTAACATGTCTTTATTCTTTACGCCCAGGAAAGAAATGTTGTGTTACCTGTTTCCCAAACCCACCCTAGAAAAAACTGCCAACCTTAGCCTTTTTTTGTGTGGACCCCTTCAACTTCAAGGGACATTTTTTTTTTTCAACTGATCGATCATTTCTAGCCCCATGATCTGACACTCAAGTGATGAAACGAAACGTTGCACGTTTGGTTGTGTAAAAAGAAAACCCTTATATCCTGTACAGCCAGTTTTCCAACATTGGCATTGAAAATGTTTATACTGCTAAACTGTGTTGTATAAGTTGGATCACTATAGATTCTAATAAAAAAAGAAAGAAAGATAATCAACCTAAGTTTTCCAGGACTGAAACAAGAAACACAACATTTTTTTCAAGGCCTTACATATATCTTTCATATTGTTCTTACTCAGGACAAGAAGATGCTGATCTTGATGTTAGATGATTTCCACGTGATCCATACGAATCCACAACCCCACAACCTTTGTACCTCCACTGCCATACACATGGCCACAGCAATGCTCAACATTCTGCAAGCCCCTGCAGTCCCCTTAGCACCTGACATCCACTGCATTGCTGAGACAACCAAAAAGGTGCCGTGCCCAGGAGGGATTAGCCCTTCTTATGCAGAGAAGGTAGTGGTGGACATCACCAGCACGTTCCACCAAAGTGTCCGGGCCATGAAGCCAGCAGAGATTGAGCTGTGTGCCCAGAAGTACGAGCAGACACTGAAGGATTTCAGGTACAAAGATAATCAAATAAATGCTCATGCATTAACATTATTAGAGGAAAAAAGAATATCAGTACAGTCAAGTCAGTAGAGTCTGGTGTTTTGCAAATTTCAAATGGCCCTTGTCTGGGGAATATCCCCATCTAGTACATGAACAATCTGGTAGTTTCAAATATCCCAGTGCACCCAAAGTACAGCTAATTAGTTGTACAGTACTTTGAACACACTAGGATGTTTGAAACTTCCAGATGCATATATGTATCACTGCCATTTTGCACAATCACACTCACACAGTTAACATATACATGTACACACACTTGAACAACTAAGGTCATCATAAATTCATATACCGGTAGCATGACTTCCACTGTTAGACATGAAGCTAGGTTGACACTGATATGCAGACCACATGTGTAGTTGAGAACTGTAAGTATAACATGCTTTTAAAGAAGTAATTCAAACAGAGTTTTTTATAATTGTTGCAGAACATACTGCCAGCCAGGGGATCATGATGAGCGTTGCACCCTCCAGTCCTGCATCCTACTTGATGAATGGGAGCAGCCATTGCATTCAGCAGAAGACTACCAGCGAGCCATCCTACATGTCCTGGAGTTGTACCCCCCACTAAAACAGTACATACAACAGTACACGCTTCTCCTCGCTGCAGATTGGCCAGGATTTTTCCTCCCAAAGAAGCTTCTTGCTCATGGACTGCTACCAAAGGGGATATTCCCCAGACAAGGGCCATTTCACATTTCGTTGAACTTCAATGAGCACTCATACTGCATGTTTAAGCCAATCTTCCAATGCCTGCACAAAGCCCTGTGTAGTGGTGAGCCACCCCAGAAACCAAAGTATGATCGCATTGTGTTCCTGCAAACTGCCTTGTTCTTGGGGTGGGATGTCATCCGTTCAGAAGTGCTGGAGAAGTTTGCCACCTGTAAAGACCCAGAGTTACTTACCCTTCTGTTGCTCCTGGAAGAAGTCAACCCTATAGCGGTTTTGCTGTACAGTGTCATTTTCCGTGGAGGAAATTATGACATGTGGTACAAGCTTGTTGGCAAGTGTGCTCTGCTGTTCCTGCAATGGGGTCGCCACCATTATGATCGAGCAACACTGTGCCACCTGACTGATGATCTCTATCTAAAGGAAAACTCTGCAAACCTCTTTGGTGCAATCACAGCAAACCTCTCAAGCATCACAGAAAAGCCTGTGGAAGTCTTCCACAGTCTTCTACGAAGAAGGACGAAGTCTTGGTCAACTGCACAAGGTATACAGCGAACCGCAAGGACCACAGCTATGAGGCAGTTCAACAATGAGTTTCTCACCCATCTTTGGCCTGAGACCAACCATCCACCGAGCAAAGACTATCAGCTCGTTCAAGGTGCAGCAGCAAAAGTCCTCACAAACCTTCTAGCTGATGTCCGAAAGAATCTCGGACAAGCACAGAGGGTCACTCTGTCCCTCAACAATGGAAGCAGGGTTGCTACACAAGACTTTTGGCTGCCATCTCTGCAGACAAATCTCCCAACAAAGTGTATGCCACTTGCATACCTCCTTGGGCATGATCCAGACCAAGCACAGAGATGTGATGCCAAGTGCCAGCAGAACAGAAGTCCTGTGGTCAGACTCACATGTGGCCACTCATACTGTTGCACAACAACATGCCCAGTGTGCATACCTGAACTTCAAAAGATGGCAAAGGACATTACCAGGAAGTTCAATGAAAGCCTTCTCCAATCCACACAGCATCGACAGAACAGCACTGCATCAGAGGAAACACAGCAGGAGCCCGAGCCCACTTCACTCTCAGTATCTCTGTCCAAACTGAGTGATGAGGAAAAGGCTACATTAAGATCAGCTCCTTTTAGACAAGAACTGAAAGAGACTGTAAAGTCTTGGCCAGATGTGACCCAGCCAAGCAACATGAGCAATGTGCAATCTGCCAACCTACCAATTGTAAGGCAACGCAGGTGTTCATACTGCAGACAACAGGGCCATGTGAAGACACGAAATGGTAGGGTACAGTGTCCCAGCCTCTTAGCTCAGGCAAGAGTTGAGGAAGAAAGAAGACGTAATCAGCTACAGACTGCTGCTCCAACTCCAACCTGCCCCAACACAACAAACCCCTCTTCTAGCCAACAACAACACCCTGTCCCAAACATCAAGAAGTACCTGTTCCCACAAGAATTCTCTCAATCAACAATTGATGGGAGGAACGGCAGCAACGCCTGTGTATTGATTTCTGTTTTATTTGCCAAAAGATGTATTTCTTTACCTACCTTGGTCAATACTAGTATCCTGCTACCTCTGGCGGTAGAGGCGATGCGAGAAGGAAACAGGTTGTTTGACACACATTTCTCACCTGGGTCACTTCTGACTGTTGGGGAGGCGAACAATGTTTCTCCTAATCAGTTCGTGAATGTGTCTACTGAACAAGCTGTTGAGTACAACCTTGACACACAGTATGGGCTGAAACACCACATTGTAACACTTCAGAATGGCCAGGCCCTCATGTACACACAGAGTTCTACCACTGTATCGGTGATATCTAGTCACCAGCATATCATATTGTTTGATAGCCACCTTCATGGATGTAATGGGGCGATTCTTATTGTAGCAAAGAAAGAAGTAAGTGTCCCTGCTCCATCTGTAGTACAGTCCATGCTGCAGACTTACAGGCTTCACCTTGGTGCTGTCAGATTAGGAACAGTTGTAGTAGTAAGCTGAGTGAGTGCCACACCTGTACCACACTTCCTGAAAGTTTATCTCAAACAGTGAGACCTTGACGCACTCCAGCTGTGACCCATATGGTCACTGGAGAAATTGTCTTTGTTTGGGTTGCATTGTTTATAGTTGGATTGTAAAGAATCGATATTGCTATGTGTATACAAGGTATAAGTCTAAAGAGTAGACCTAACATGGCACATGTACAAAATAAAAATGAAATACTGAACATATTTTGCTGCCTTATGACATTTGTTTATCGGAGGGACGAGCACGTAATACTGGAGGAACATAAAACATCTCACACACAAACCTACTAAATTTGAAGGAATTCAAAATGGACAAATCAAACAAATTCCAGCTCTTGTCACAAGGATAAGTCCTTTGTCCATGATTTCCGGCGTCTGGCGAAAGAGCAGCACCTTTTCTCAGGGTGCGCCCTCCCCCTTTTGTGTAAACCTTGCCAAAATGCCATTTTTACGGTCAGTTGTCTCATTAAAACCCTATCGAATATCTTCAAGCACCTACCTTTGAAACCAGTGAAGGATCCGTCTCGTTATGAGTCAACGTTATCTGTCGTTTTCCCAATTTGTAACGCAAAAAAGACGAAATCTTCAGCACAAGACACGATTTCAGCCGCCATTAGCACCCAGCTGGGGGTCCCTGGTTTCGCGCATGCGCATTACGTTCCGGTTACGTGCTGGACAGGACACATTTATTGTACGATGCGGTGCTACCATTATCGCATGAATATATGGAGCTACAGATTGGTTCACTATAAGTTTTGTCTGTTCTACTAGCAGACACCGTGTATCATAAGTTACGGTGCCGTGTATTGTGGCCTGTAATATACATATTGTCAACTTCAATGCCGCTCCTTTGGCTTATAGCTCTCAGGGTTTGTTTACACTTTTTCTCTGTTTTATTGACAGATGCGGTGTATTATAATATCGCTCGTTTGGCTTGTAGCGGTCAGTGTTTGTTGACACATTTTGTTCTGTCCTGTTGGCAGACACTGTGTACGGTGCCGCTGGTGATTGTGGCTCGTACTATATATTGTCAACTTCCTGGCCGCTCGTTTGGCTTGTAACGGTCAGTGTTTGTTGACACATTTTGTTCTGTCCTGTTGGCAGACCCGGTGTACGGTGCCGCTGGTGATTGTGGCTCGTACTATATATATATTGTCAACTTCCTGGCCGCTCGTTTGGCTTGTAGCGGTCAGTGTTTGTTGACACATTTTGTTCTGTCCTGTTGACAGACACTGTGTACGATGCCGCTGGTGATTGTGGCTCGTACTACATGTATATATTGTCAACTTCCTGGCCGCTCGTTTGGCTAATGTAACGGTCAGTGTTTGTTGACAGAACAAAATTATCCCCCTGACTTAGCAGTCTTGCAAACGGGTTATGCGTTGGTTTAGTAATCTGATCATAATTGATTCCATAAACTACATTGCACATAGCGAAACCCATTTTAAATCATGGGCAACCATCTTAACAATTTCCTTTCTTTTGAGTACTAGTCATGTCGCCACCACGAAAGAGTGCCCGCGTAGCGCGGAGGCGAGAGGATCTGGGTCCCCCGCAACCGACCGACGGCGGTAACGGGTTAACACCTGAAGGTGACATAACATCACCACCTCGCAAGGTTCCCAACAAACCCAAACTGACCATGAAGACACTCCAGCAACAGC